GTCAGACGACTTACATTAGTTAACGCATCCACACAATCACACTAAGACACCTCAAATAAATACCGTAGGGCAACCTAACTGCAGTGGACTTGGTCCTGTAGCGTGCGAGGTGACGAACTATCGTGCCACTTCGAGCGCAAATGGCGCGCCAACAATTTGTTGTAGCAATACCCCCTTTTACGTTCCATGACGCAGGTTTACCAACCTTCTATTCCTCCTTCCTGTTAGTTTATGACATGTATTTCAGTTACACTCCATTTTCACAACAGCGGTTACCATTGGCCAATAATCTTGAGTTTCACCACTACTCCAGATCATTTTACATACCTTTCCCAGAATTGTTTCCAAAGTATTCCCTAATGTAGACTGAGTCCTAAGGACGTATATGAGCGACGTCACGAATTTCAACCAAAGAATCTGACATGTCTCTTCCTATGTATTACTAAGTGGAAGATAACAGTCCAAGATACAAAACTTATCGAGACAAAACCTATCAGTATAAACCGGTAAAACGGAGTAAGTAAGAGTCATCTTGTGTATGTAACATGATAGGCAGCTAGATCCCGACGAGCTAATACCGTTTTAGTATTAAGTGCTAATTAGTATTAAACTATAGTGCTAATAATTTTGCTAATAAGTAAATGAATTTTTTTTGCACTTGCATACAAAAATTGTCACTATTTTGGACTTGAAATTCATTTATTAAGTTGACTTTTTGGTTATTTATTTTTTATTATATTAGCAAAATCAACGCTAATGCAAACAAAAAGCATTAGCAACAGGTCGATTTTAGCTCTTAATTTTATGGCTAATTAACGTGTCGGGATGAGGCTAAGATTTGAAATAACCCGAACAAGACAAAAACCAACTAAGCTAGTTGTAGTCAGTTGAGCTGTACTTTAGTTAGACGGTATAATGTATTTAGTAAAAAATAGATGAAAAAAATTTCTGAAGACGGAGAGTTAGTTCCAAGTAGAGATAAATCAGTATGCTTGTATCGATGTCACATCAATACGGCTACTTTTTAGAACAGTGTCCGAAGAGGTTGTCTCTTTATTGTGTGTCTATTTTCTTTTATATCACGGTTCATTTATCATTATGTTTTTCACTTTATCACTTATATTTTCAGATATACGTTCAATAACCCTTATCCTATATAAATTCGTTATCGAGTGCCCTTTGCAACCGTATACCGGCTAATATAGGTGTCAATTTCCCCGCACCAAGCAACGGGCTGCGCTTGACAATTGTCCAAAAGACGGTTTGACAATGGTCAAGTTAGCTAGGCCTGAAGAAAGACGTCTACACTCGCCAGGAATTTGTTGCCTGTTATTCAGGACGACGTGGTAATAGGACCTGTACACGGTAGAATTCGAATCAATCAATAATCAAATCAAAGCTTGTCTGCATTACAAAGAAAAGAGAACTATGTACACTAAAAACCACACCACAAAACAAAGAAAGGCAATTGGCTAGTTCACCCTTTATTCATAAAAAAATCACAAAGAGAATCATAGGAATCTAAATGACATAGAAACCGACCACTTTTTTTTTAATAAAATACTTCCCGTCTGGGAGATAAACTATAAATAAACAAAAAAAATCCTTTCCTGTCCAGTGTATTCAATAAGAAGAGGGACGAGGAAAAGCACTCTCACCACCAAAACAATCAGTACAAAACAACCGTTAATAACATGTAACCAAAACGCAATGGTCCTCGCCCTGTTTATGTTTACTTTACATTGTCAACATGCTAACATCGAAAAGAGTCTCGCCTCCTTTGACCTCGCACACACTCTTTCTATTGAATGTAAGATGGGCACCATATGCGAGTAATTATAGTGCCGATTCTTGGTTAGTCTAACGAACTAAAGGTCGAACCAGGCAAATAATCTTCTATTTATTAAAAATTTTAAAAATTCACCGTCGGTCTACTATAATCCCTACAACCGAAAGTTGACAAGTCAAAGCAAATATTCAGACATAACGGACACCTAACTTTGACGAGGGACCCCAGACCACCAACATCCTACAAACGAAAACGACCAGGAACAGGTTAAATTGTAGATTTTAGGGATGTTTACACAACTTACCTTGCGTCCGGAGGATTTATAGTGCCTCTCGACCTTACAGAACCCTCGATAAGTGTAAGTCAAAGATAGATTAAGAACCTAAAGATCATTGGGACCACTCAAAAGGAAGAAGAGATCCTCGAGGCTTCGCCTAAGTCTGGCTCGGCGACTGGGGTTTTTCTTCCTTCTTCTTCGGCCTCCTCCGCGTCGCCTCAGCCTCCGTCGGCCTGGCAGCTCCCAGGCGCTCCTCCTCCCTCTCCGTCGTTCCTCTGGTATGTATGCTGCGTCGTTCCTGCGTTGTTGGTGTTGCCAATGAGAGTGACTTTTTTGCCGCCGCGTGTCTAGTGTCCGTCCGTCGCTCGTCGCAGGGGGCGCGAGTCGGGGGGAGGGGGTGTCTGCGAAGTTTAGTT